GGGTAAACAAAGAGAACCCAGAGTGTTTGTAACTTTTCAATAACGAGGAGTGAGGCGGCACGCGGGGGGAAATGGGGAGGGGTGGGGGCGTGTTAGATACAGTGCTGTAGTTCACACGAGGCTTCGACCAACTAGCGAGAGATAACACCATTCACAGCTCGCACTAATGGCAACACAACTGCAACTATCCTAAAGTCCAAGGCGGGATAGGATTCCCTAAGTGACATAGGATTCCCTAAGTGACATAGGATTCCCTAAGTGACATAAAGCCTCAAATTTGCCCGTGTGGGGTCTTCAGAGGACGCCTCCCTGCACTCTAAAAGCTAACAATGGTCCTTTGACGTGTGCAATATGTACACCGTACATTGATTCTAAAACACACCCACTTCTCAGAGCAGACAGAACCGGCGGCCTACGTCATAGTGAGGAGAAAGACATATTTCCCATACCTTTTAAAATCCTATAAACCGATCACTTTCTGTGAGCCATCCATCCGGGGGTCTGGATTAACCCGAGACAGTTTTCCCAGACGACAAGGCGGCTCTTTGCCCCCCCCCCCTCAATCCTCAAAGGAAACTCGTCCCTGTGCCAGATCAGGATGAAAGCAAAAACGAGCAATTGACGCAGCTTTGCGGTTAATAAAGACGAGGTGAATCGTTCGATCAAAAAACGCAGTTGACAAATAGATTCTAGCCCGGGTCAAAGAGGGACAAGAGATAACGCTCTAAAGGACTAAAGGACAAGCCGATGAAACAGACTTTTGCTTTGCTGATGAAACAGACTTTTGCTTTTTACATTTTCCTTCCTCTTGTTTCATTAGATGTCGAGGGGGTGGGGGTGGTTGTTTTAGTAAGTGTTTTATGGCACGTGTGATTTTAGTAAGTGTTTTATGGCACGTGTGAGACAATACATCATATAAGTGCCGAAGATTTGTGAAGTTACAAGAAAGTAACAAACACAAACAGGAGAGGTAAGGAAGAAAGATGTTACATTGTTACATTTTAAAAAATACGTTTAAAAGGAAAGAAGGAGCAAACCACTCCAACGCACCCGCCAACCACTCATGGGGAAGAGTAATTTTCGGTCAAGGGCAAGGAAACATAAACAAATAGCGGGGAAACATTCAAGAAGGAGAAATAGTAATTAAAGCAAGTCTACTCAATAGTTGACAGACACGCACATACACACACACGCGCGCACACACACACACACACACACACACACACATGTTGACAGACACGCACATACACACACACGCGCGCACACACACACACACACACATGTTGACAGACACGCACATACACAAACAGGCACACAAACACAGAGTGAGAGAGGGGGGGGGGCGAGATGGATAAACAAAGAGAGAGGAAAAAACAGAGAAAGATATCCGACGTTTCATAACTCAAACAAAGAACTCAATAGTCTTGGGCCAAGCAATATAAGAGTTAAGCATCCAAGTTTCTACAGTAAAGACAGCACAGCACGTCACCATAGTCAAGGTTATTTAGAGTAGGGGGAGAAAACAAGACAGACCGAAAAAGGAGGAAAGCAAAGAGGAAAGAAATTAATACTATTGACGCCTTCCAACCACACTCCAGGAGTATCTTCATGGTTCACAGGCTTGAAAAAGCAACTTGAAGCAGAAACGAGTTCTGAACGAGTGACCGTTTGGTTTTCATTTTTAATTTTGATGGAGGAGGTGGAAGACCAGAGAAGAGGAGGAGGCGGGGAGGAGAGAGGAGACGTCTTTGAACAGGAGGACAAGGGGAGGGAAGGGGGAAGGAATATTGGACGAGGGGGAAGGGGAGGAGTGGGGGGGTATCTTGATCGAGACACTTGTGGCGCTACCCTAGACTGGCCCCCGGCCCGTGGCAGTGACTACTGTTCTGTGTGAAACTGTTTGCCCTGTACTGTACGTCATGTTTGCCCACTACACGAGTGAGATGTTACGTAATATCATCATACACACGCGCGCGCGCATACACACACACAGACACACACACACACACACACATACA